CTCTGAGGAAGGAGCCACTATCAAGGAAGGAATTCAAGCCAATCTAACCAATCCACCAAATCAGGATAGCAGAAATCAGCAACAAATTTGTCAACCAAATGAGCTTTCTAAAACTCAAAACTCTCTTGAGCTTTCTACTTTACCTAACATCAATGAATTTCTGCATGTTGATCTTCCTTTATCTTACGCAGGTTTGCCTGAAGTAAATCAAGATTGCATGGGGTGCATCAATAGAATCAAACCATGACCACTCCCTCAACAAGCACTCTATGATCACCCGTGAAAAAATTCGCTAAAAATCCCAACTTAGGCCTCCCACTCCAGCCAGCTAAACCATTAAAATCTTCAAAGAAACATCTATTCCCTTATAACCACCTCTGAAATAGCCGAACCCAAAAGCTACAAAACAACCCTCAAAATACCACATTGGCATTTTCCTATGAAAGAAGAAATGATGGCTCTTGAAGCAAACCACACATGGAATCTAGTACCTAAGCCTCCAAACACAAATATCATAGGATCAAAATGGCTCTTCAAAATCAAACTCAAAAAAGATGAAACAGTGGATCGGTACAAGGCAAGATTAGTTGTCCAAAGGTACTCTCAAGTTGAAGGATTGGACTAATGAAGAGACATTTAGTCCAATGGTCAAACCCTGCAAGATCATAATTGTATTGATTATGAAGAAACGTTCAGTCTAGTTGTCAAAAAGCCCACTGTTCGGATCATCTTCTCATTGGCAGCTCAATTCGATTGGCCTCTTCGATAACTGGATGTCAAGAACGCCTTTCTCTATGGTGATCTTCGTGAAGAAGTGTACATGCAACAACGATAGAGGTTTATTGATTCACAACATCCACATCATGTTTGTAAACTTCTGAAATCCTTTTATGGTCTCAAACAAGCTCCTTGGACTTGGTTTGAGTGTTATACATCTCACCTTTTGACACTTGGATTTGTTGCTTCAATGGCTGATTCTTCTTTATTTATACGTCGTGATCACACTTACTTATTATTATATGCTGATGACATTATTGTCACCGGAATCTCTTCATCTTATATAGATGTCCTAGTTTTCGTCAGTTACGATCTTTTTTGACATGACCGACCTTGGCAGCTTAAAGTATTTCCTTGGTCTCGAGATCACTCGTTCTATGCATGGCATTGCTGTTAATAAGACAAAATATGCCAGTGATCTGGTCCATCGATTTGGCATGTCTTATGCCAAGCTTTGTGCCACACCCTTGGCATTAAAACCCTGTAAAGATGAATCTGCACCTTGTTCTCTTGATGATGCTCATAGTTTTTGTGCTATCATTGGTGCTCTTCACTATTGACATTTACACGGCTGGATCTTGCTTTTCCAGTAAGCAAATTATCTCGTCTTATGCATTCGCCATCTTGTGACCATTTGGCTTCAACTAAACGTATTCTTCGCTACATATATGGTTCTCTTACATCTGGCTTATTGTTTCAAATGAGCTCTTCAACATTGCCATTTTCCTAAAATAATGCTTACTCTGACTTTGACTAACCTAATTTTTAATAGAAACTAAATCAAAACTGTAGAGATCGAGTTCAACTAAGCTCAAATCATAGGAACAAAATTGAAACATTTCAAACCATAAGAACCAAATTAAAACTTACGTAAGTCCAAAGGATCAAATTTGTAATTTAACCTAATTTTTAAACGACGGTAACAAACAGACCCCATCTTTTCACTTAGGTCTAAAAATTTTACTTTATTATAATCACGTCAACCTAAACACAACTTAATTAGATAAGACAATATATCTCTCAATTAAAAGGTTCGAGATTCAAATCCTGACTCCACATACATGTTATAGAATTCCAAAACAATAATAATAATTGTAACAACAAATTTTAGTTTGTCTATGCCATTTATGTCCAATAATTTATGATATTAAAAAAAAAAGTTGAAGCATAGAGCAAGAAAATATCCATTCATCCTCTTTTATTTATAATTTGATTTTGTAATAGATAAAGCTGGCGATACAACTTCATTTTCATATATGAGAAGTCCAAAAAAAGGCATGGGCTCTAACTGCAGGTAGGGATACTGGTAAAGCCACACGACGAAATGATCTTTTTGTAAAATTAGAAACGACCCTACCAAAAACTCTCGTCGGAAATCTTCCTCATTCTTGCCTTCAACGTGAAAAGAAATTTCCAGCTTGTACAAATCAGAGTCTCATGACAGACTGGTAGCAGATTGCTTCTCTTTTCAATCTTCTATTTTTGGTACACTACAATTATCTTTTCAGCATTCATTACAATGAATACTATTTCCTTTCTTGTCTTTATTCAATTCCTTCTATATGTGTCCTTAGTAGCCGTTGTTTTCCTTTTTGGTTTTCTGGCGTAATCAGTATTTAGTTTACATTACATTTTGGTGCTTGATGAAAAGAGAAGAAAAAATATCAGCCCACTGTCATTTGATTTGTCCAACAAGCTAAAACTTTGATTTTGAATTCTTTCTTGGTATCAGAGCATACGATTACACTCATGTTGTCGCATAGGAGTTGAGGTGGCTTGAGCATTTTGATTCCAATGTCTCTTAAGAGAAACATAATCCAAGTGAGATCTGCTGTAGTTGCTGCAATTGCTCTATATTCAACTTCTGAGCTAGATATTGCTTCTTAGAACTCCATGATATGTAATTTGGTCCTAAGAAGATACATGAGCCTGAGGTACTTCTTCTTGTGTTAGGACATCCTGCCCAATCTACATCCGAAAAACCATAGAGATTTAGACTTTGATTTGTCCACTGTCATTTGATTTGTCCAACAAGCTAAAACTTTGATTTTGGATTTTTGTAGTACACACAGTAGCATGATTGTTGCTCCCTCAACCTCTCGCAGCAAGTTGCCCATGGCCGCACCTCCAATGTGAAAGCCAACAGACATGGTCTCAGATCGTCAAGGTCGCAAGTCGCTGCCTCTGCCGCTCGAGCTCCGGCGAGAAGCGGCACCATCGCTGCAACCAAGAGGAAAAGGCTTGTGATCGGAAGTTTGCTCATTGTTGAGGATTTTGAGAGGGCTGAAGACGTGTATAGGTAAAAAGAAAGAGGAATTGATGCATATTTGCCAAAGCTTTGGACAAATATTTATAGCCTCGTGAAATGGAAGGTGCGCAAGAAATTACTATTTACCACCCTTTGACTAATTTCACACTCCCCCACCACTAACTTATTTGTTAGGAGTGCAGCCAACTTGATAACGTCGGTTGCCATATATAGAGAGAAACTTCCAAGATCCAAGATGGGACAAGGCTTTGGTTTGTAACTCATCAACCATGAGGAATATTGCTCCCATTGAGGAATTGAGAAGCCTTAGTGTAACTCGTCAACCATGAGGAATGTCCTGTAGGTTGATTAAAATTGGGGTTTTAAAGATATAAAGAAGAGCTCTTCCCATGATTATGTTGGAGAATAGGTAATTGTTGATGCGTGATTCTGGCCTGTCGAGCCTACCTGCAAATAGAATCTTTTACTGGTGTGGTGCTCGAGTACGTATATTCTGAAGTTTAAGTAAGTACTCAAGCAGGAGTTAGATGTCGAACTAACTTATATTAATGCAAGAGGTTATGTACCTTTTGAGTAGGTGAGACTCCACCTTTTATAAGGAAAGCATTGGAAAGGGACCTCTGCTGTTGCAGCGATCGTACCTATCGTTTAATGTATTTTCCGTTAGCAATTATGGAAGATCATCTAACAGTAAAATCGTTTTTCATTGAATGTCAACATATTTCTCGCTGCTCCTTTTCCAAGTCAGAGCTAAGCTAAGGTCTGCTCGAGGACATGTTGGCCCCTTCTTCAACCTCCTCTGCCTATTCGAGTTGAAGCCCCACATGTTCGTATTTTTAGTTTTACCCCCAAAAAGTAGATTTTTTTTTCCACTTTTTTAACTACAGATACGCTCATAAAAGAGAGAATTGGTACCATTAAAGGGTGTTAGATATTCAATATAAATGATTAAATTTATCCTAATCTATCCACTTAAACTTTTGAGTTCATTAATCGTTTAATCATGTTTAAAATGGTATAGAGCATGTCTTGTGCTAAAACCCTTGGATTATTATTTCCTCCTCATTTATTATTCATTTCTACTCGGGTTAAATGAAGGTAAGTGTCTAGATATCCAGTATAAGTTAAACCATCCAAGCTTTTGGATTCAGCGAGATTTTCCTAGTATTTGAACAAGTATCTCTTAACCTTTGTTTTTTTAATGTTCCCACCTTGATTAATACAATCACATGAACTCTGTTTATTTTCCTTTCACTTTATCTATTGTCCAGTTCACTAATTTTGATTTTTTATAGCTAGATTTATCCTATTTGTATTTTAAGTTACTCTCGAAAAGCTTCATTAAATTCATCCCAAGTTGTTTCCCTCTCCCTAGAATTTCTTATTTTTATGAGTTGTCTGTTATGATACTGATCGTAAATTATTTTATTTATTATTATAATTATTTTTGTAATGAAAAGTTAGTGATGAATTGCGGTAAAGAAAATATATATATATATTGATGAATTCACATTTCCATTATTTTTATTTTCTTTTTTGCCAACATGAACTTGACTTAACATCGATAGTTTGTGCAAGTCTATCAATAGTTCATCACTAAATATCAACATGAGTTTAGCTCAATAGTAATAGGCGCAAATGTATTGGCTTAACTTTTACAATTAAAAGCTCGTGAGGGTCTGTTTGAGAGTGATTTTGGCATGGTCAAAATAACTTTTTGTCATTGTCAAAGTCAATTCCCTTTTCATTAATCATGCTTGGCATATTAAGAAATTGATTTTAGCAAAGCTTAAAATCACTTTAAATTGGTTTTTAAAATATCACTCCGCCGGTAATTTTGAAAAATCAATTATACTTAAATCTCTTTTTTCAAAACCACTAATTTTACAAATAAGTCTGAAACACACCCTAAATAGTTCATCCGTGGTTTGCACAAAACCTAAAAAGTTCATGATCGAGAAAAAGGTCAAAAGGATAAGTGTAGAGAGAGAAATATATCCCACACATCCTACACCTTTATTTATAGTTTTGATTTTGTAATACATTAAGTTGGCATGCATAAACCAACTTCATTTCATATGAGAGCCGAAGCCAACCCCAAGCATGGCTTGTAGTTCTAGCAACGGGGCACGGCAATGCGGCATATGGAAGCAACCGCCTTGGCGCGGGGAGATTCAACATAAGGCTTCATCCTTGGATCCTTGGCGTACTCACAAAAGCACGGCTGTTGCTGCTTCAACTTTTGGCAGCAAACGGTGGACGGCGGCGCTGACGACGTTATCGCACCGAGACATGGGCTCAGCTCCATCGGGTTGCAAGCTGCCTCCACCGAGCGAGCTCCACTAAGAAGCGCCACCGTCGCCACCACCGCCACCAGAAGGCAAAGGCTTGGCACTTGAAATTTCTTCATTCTTTTGGTTTTGAGAGGATCTGATATTTTGATAGGAAAAGAAAGAGGAGAGGATGTTTATATTTATAGGCTCATAAAGTGGAAGGTATGTGCACAAAATTTGTCCATCCTCCGTATTAATTTCGCTCTCACTTCCCACACCACCTACTACTTCTTTGTTATGCGTGAAACCAAATTGATGATATCAGTTCCCATATATGATAAAGAAACTTTTTAGATAAAGACAAGGTTAGCTAGACAATAGTCGTGTTCACATTGTGTAATAATATGTTTTTTTAGTACAACATGTGTGGGGTGGGGGATCGAACTCACAATTTTAATTTGAAATATATGTCAATTACCACTTAACTATACTCACTTTGGTTGTTATAATATGTTAATTTTAACTATTACGTACTCCTTCCATTCAAATTTAGATAATATCATTAATTGACATACTATTTTACAAATATGAAGTTAGTTCAACGGTAATCGACACTGTCTTTGATGAAAGAGATCATGAATTTGAATCTTCATGCTTGTTGTACTAAAAAAAATTGACTTACTATTTTATTTCATTATATGTTATAAATTGACATACTATTTTATTCCATTATATATCTATAATATATAGATCAAATAATGAACTCAAGTAATATATAAGGAGAAATTTTCATATGATCACACTAGTATAATTTTTTTCAGGATAAACTAGGGATGGGATAGAACAAGTGCAAATGTAATTAAGACTGATTTAGTGATTCATGTTATTACCAAAGGTTTTAAATGTTGATGTCAATGTCAACTTAATGCATGTATTTTCGACAAAAAGATTGTATTTTCAAAATCATACTCCCACATGTTATATTGAAAAATATCGATTAAATGAAAATGTCGATAGAAATACTATCAATAAAATACTCATATTGATGGATATTTCTAGAAGAGTTATTAAACTAAAAAAATCATAATCAATATTTAAACGAACAAATAAATATTTCACTGTTTTTAAATGTGTTTAAATTTATTGAAATTATATGTTCATTTTTTTTAATATTTTATCATAATTTTTTCACAACACTATAAAAATTTGGGTGTCGGTATCTAATTTCCATATATATGAAAATAGCGACATGTGAATGAAAATTTAATACTTGTGTCATTTTAGATGAAAAAAATATTAAAAAAATTGGACGGTTGCTGAAGATCTCAAGTAATTAAATGGCAACTGACCTGATTGCTGGGCATTTAAGATAAAAAAAAAAGACTAATAAAAATAAAAATAACAAAATTCTCTAAATTTCATTTATATAATCATTTTTAGGGAAAAGATCAACTTGTGCCCTAAACTTCGCTTTCAAATGTATAACTTTTTAATTTCATCATATTGCACTTTAAATTTATAATTTTTAACTTAAAACAAAACATTGCAATGTTTATCTTAATGTTAAAAAGGTGGTGTTGGAATTCGTTTCCTTCTGATAGTTTCTGTTTGACGATCACGAATCATTGAAAAAATATTATGCACAGTATTCAATGAATGTTTAAAAACAAATATTAGGTACGAAATTGATAGGATATTCAAAGAAAAAAGACATTAGAATCAGTTTGTTTGGTTAAAATTTAGTGATTTTATACATTGCTCAAACTTAATCTCCGAGAAGCTTACTTTCATTAAATTAGTGAGTTTTTAAATTTGTCAAATTTGTAAAAATAATTTGTTGGGATTGGTGGAGCCAAAACAACGTCGGAATGAATTAGGGAAGAATCGGAATCGAGCCGAGATGCGTCAGGATTGAATCGGGGATGAAAAACAGAGAAGCGGGACGCTGCAGGCCACTTGGGCCGAGAAGATAGCGTCGCGGTGCCGCTGCAGGGCACCATGGCGCTGTCGTGGTTGGTGCGCGGGCGTAGTTTTCCGTCCGTAGCGACATGGCGCTGTTTCGATGTCTATATAATTGCAGTTTCGGGTTTATAGTTTTCCAATCGAAAAAGGGTTATTGTCCAGTCGATTTTGAGCCGTTTTTCAGAGGGTTTCGTGGCAATTTCAAGGGAGAGGCTCGGGCATTGGCAGAGGTATTGAAGCTCATTAAGATCAATACATTCAGGGTAATTAGATATTGATTATTGTGAGTTTTTCATTCATGTTCCTCAGTATTAATTGTGTAAAATACTTAGAAGCTAGGGGGCTTTTGTTGAGACCTTTAAGGGATATTTTGGAGAGTGTTATTATATCCAATCCTAAAAAATATTAGTAAATTACCTACATCTGAGTGGAAGACTAGACGTAACCCTTAGTGGTGAACCATTATAATTTGCTGTGTCGTTTGCTTGTGTTTACTGCTTTTCTCCATATTTGCATATTTGTGGTTGTGTTGGATATTTTCTGTGAAATGGAAAATTATTCCGGTCAATCAATTTCCCAACATTTGGTATTAGAGCTGTAAGGTTGTAGCATCATGGATAACAGATATCAAGCACACCATTATTGTGAAGGGGTTTTGAAGTTCAATGGGAGAGAATTTCAGTTTTTGGAAGATGCAGGTAAAGGATCTTCTTACATGCAAGAAGATACACAAGACTTTAGGGGAGAGACCAGCAGGGATGGTGGACAAGGATTGGAATGAGATGGATGAGCAGGCTGTTGCGAACATCAGAATGTCGTTGTCTATGAATGTTTGTAGTATGGTGGCGAAAGAGACTACAGCGAAAGATTTGTTGAATGTCTTGCAAGACAGGTATGAAAAACCTTCTGTCAATACAAAGATACTCCTATGGACGAGGTATTTTAATATCCACATGGAGGAGGGAACTTCGGTGAATTCTCACATTAATGAACTCACTGATATCTTCAACACGTTAGAAAGGATGGGTGTCAAGATTGACGATGAGGTGAAAGCTATGAGGCTGTTGACGTCTTTGCTTGACAGTTGGGAGACGATGAAGACCGTAGTGTCGAATTCGCTAGGGAAAAATAGCTTGAAATTTACAGCTATTTGTGATGTCGTCTTATCTAAGGAAGCCCGGAGAAAATTAGGAAAAATGTCTGCATCTACTTGAGGAGCAGAGAACGGAGTTGAATCAGCTTTGGTAACTCACAACAAAGGGAAGACAAAGATGAGTTACAATGGGAAGCAGTAGCGGAGATATAGTAGAGGTAGTGGGAGTTATAGTTGTTGGGTGTGTTGCCCTAAACTCGTAGTTTGTATTTTGTAAAAACAAATGTCTATTTAATAAAGATTTATTCAATAAATTTTATTGTTGAATCATAGCTTTGCATTGTCCAAAATCCAATAAACTAAACATCCAAGGTTATTTATGATGTAATCGGGACAGTATATATACTAGGTATATATTTGATATACCCCTGATATATGAATGGATAATGTCCCGTGAATAACCTAAAGGGTCTAAGTATATGGATAAGGCTGGATACCTTATCCTGGCAACACTATGGATACGGCCCACTCTGTAAAGGTTACAGATGACTCGATCCAGGTCGTTCGTGTGGAGACATGCGAGTGGGGATATCCTATACAATGAGTTTGTATAAGACCGGACCGCGAAATAGGCAATCTTTAGATGTAACACCGTTAACTAATAGATTGCTATTTCTTAGGATGATCAGGCAACTCATTCTCAATCCTGAGTGAGTTATGGACTCCTGCC